CAACAGCCTCAGCAGACCGGCTTTCCCCAGGCTCAGCAGCAACAGCCGCAGCAGACTTCGGCGCCGTCTCCGGCTCCTATCAAGCCGCAGGCCACGGGCTTCAGTCAGATGGCTGCGTCTTTCCAGACCGGAGGCACACCAAAGCCTGCGGGCAGACGTCCAAAGTCGTCCTCCAGCAAGATCCCCAACATCCGGCTGTCTTTCATCACTGCCCAGGACCAGTCTAAATTCGAGACGCTCTTCAAGTCCGCGGTTGGCGATGGCTCAGAGACCGTCATGTCCGGAGACAAGGCGAGAGACCTGTTGTTGAGATCGCGACTGGACGGTGATTCTCTCTCACACATTTGGTAAGTTGGACTCTAGCGCGTGTTCTCCCAGCAAGCACTGACGAACCCCCCTCTCAGGACTCTGGCCGATACGACTCGATCCGGACAACTGCACTTCCCTGAGTTTGCCCTGGCGATGTACCTGTGCAACCTGAAGCTTACCGGAAAGTCGCTGCCTTCCTCGCTGCCCGACAACATCAAGAACGAAGTTTCTAGCATGGTGGACATCATCAGCTTCAACATTGCCGAGGATGCAGGCCGCGCTACTCCCGGAAGCACGAACACGGGCAGGTCGAGCACGGAACCTACGATTCATCAGCCCCAGCCTCAGGCCTCCAACTCCCAGCTGTTGCAGGCGCAGATGACTGGATTCCCTGGGCAACAGCAGCCTCAACCGACTGGCTTTGGGCAGCTGCAGGCCCAGCAGACTGGTTTCCCCGGCATGAACCCCCAACCAACCGGATACACGGGTCCTCGCCCACCAATGCCGCCGATGCCGACTGGCTATGGCAACAGCTTGACCCCTGGCGGAGGACCGATGGCTGCGCCCCTGAATGCCCAGCCAACTGGCAGACCCGGCCAGTGGGGTCTGGTCAACACGCCCGCAACTGGCCTGCCAAACATTGATCTCCTCCAGGCTCGAATGATGCCTCAGTCGGGCCGGGAGGCGGGCAATTACACCACCCAGGGCCTCCAGGGCAATGCGGTCATTCCCTGGGCCATCACCAAGGATGAGAAGCAGCGTTATGATGCCCTTTTCAAGGCGTGGGACGGTCTCCACAAGGGCTTCATCGGCGGTGACCAAGCTATTGAGATCTTTGGCCAGAGTGGTCTGGAGAAGCCGGACCTCGAGCGCGTCTGGACTCTGGCAGATAATGGCAACAAGGGTCGCTTGAACCTGGACGAGTTTGCGGTCGCTATGCATTTGATCTACCGTAAGCTCAACGGCTACCCACTGCCTAACCAGCTGCCGCCTGAGCTTGTCCCTCCCTCTACGAGAAACATCAACGAGTCCATCGGCACCATCAGGTCCATGCTGAGCCAGGAGTCCGAGTTTCGCAACAAGTCCGGCGCTGCTCTCCTGCCCCAGAAGACTGGAGTCAGCTACATGAAAAGCCACTCGCTCAGAGGCACGCCCGGCGGCCACAACAACGGCCGCAAGGATGCGACGGTGTTCAAGAACAACGACGATCAGGTCGGCTACAAGTCTTCCGCTCGCCGTCGTGTCGGCAACAACTCGCCGCGGCCCGAGTCCCCTGCCCCTTCGTCTGCCTATGACGACTTGAGTCTCGACCAGCTCAGAAAGAAGATCCGAGAGAAGGAGGTGCTCATTGACGCGATGGACTTTGCTGACGAGAAGAGTCTGGAGGAAGATGATATGCTTGACAGGCGCGACCGTCGCGAGGCCGAAGAGCTGTACCGCCGTATTCGCCGTGTCCAGGACGACATCGATTCGCATCCCGACGCCGCTCTCGCCTCGGGAGACTCAGATGCCGAGAGACGTGCTCTCAAGCGCCAGCTCCAGACTCTCCAAGACAAGGTCCCTGAGCTGGCTTCGGCGGTGCGCAAGACGGAGAAGGCTATTGCGGACGCCAGGCTCGAGCTCTTCAGGCTCAAGGACGCCAAGGCTCACCCCAACAGCGCTGCTCCCATCGTCGGAACCGGACCTGGCGGTGCTGTCACGGAGTCTGACAGACTCAAGGCTAGGGCTAAGGCTATGATGCAGCAGCGCACGGCCGCCCTGACCGGTAAGAAGGTCGAGTCCAGCTTCGACGACGAGGGTCCCAAGCGCCTCGAGGAGGAGAACTTCAAGATCAAGACCGAGAAGGAGAACAACGAGAGCATGGTCAGGGATGTTGAGGACTCTGTGCGTGACTTTGCCCGCGGCATTGAAGATAACCTGAAAGAAGGTAATGCGACCGCCACCAACGAGCACGAGAAGCGCCGCTGGTATGATGCTCTCGGTGTCGAGGACGAGGTCAGAGACTTCATCTTTGATCTCCAGCGATCTAGCCGTGCCGCGCGTGTCCGGGCTCAAGACAAGCGTACTACGTCTAGATCACCCGCCGCGGCTGCCCGCGCTGAGCCTGCACCGTCAGCTCGCCACGACAGCCCCGCCCCTCCCTCTCGTACTGCCACCCCCTCGAGCGCCGGTGGAGGCTCGTACTCGTCCTACAAGACCCCCGAAGAGCGTGCGGCCTTCATCAAGCAACAGGCTGAGCAGCGCATGGCTGAGAGACTTGCCGCTTTGGGCATTAAGGCTCCCAGTAAGCCTGGTGAGACGGCTGCCCAGAGAATGGAGCGTGAAAGAGCCGAACGTGCTGCTAAGCTGCGCCAGGCCGAGGAGGAGGATGAGCGCCGCGAAGCTGAGCGCCAGGCACGCCTTGCGGAAGAAACGGGTGCCCCGGCACCAGCCTCAACCGGCGGCAAGAAGCCTCCCCCACCGCCGTCTAGAAAGGGCGCCAAGAACGATGGTGCCGACGTTGCGCGCAAGGCCGAGGAGGAGCAAGCTGCTAAGCATGCTGAGGAGGAGCGTCTCGCGAGGGAACATGATGAGCAGCAGCGTGCCACTCAGGAGATGGAGTAAGTCCCATCAGTAACTATTCAGAACCAAAGACTAACTTTGCACAGGGCCAACGCTAGAGAGGCAGAGAATGACGTCGAGAAGGAGCGTTCCGCTACCGAGGCTCGCCTCAAGGCTCTTGAGGAGCAGGTTAAGGCCGGCAAGCTTAAGAAGGAAGAGGAGAAGCGCAAGAAGAAGGCTGCGATGGCCGAGGCCAAGGAGAAGGAGTCTAAGCTTGCTGCCCAAAGAGCCGAGATCGAAGCTGCTCGTCAGCGCGAGCTGGAGCTCCAGCGGCAGCTCGAGGCATTGAACGACGATGACAGCTCTTCTGATGATGAGGATGGCCCGTCTCAGATCACCCCACAGGCGTCGACCCCTACTCAGGGTGGCAGCCAGATCAGCAGCCAAGAGCTGGAGAAGGAGTCGTCGCCGCCATCCGTGCCGACTGTGGTCACCAGCCCGCCTACCGAGAACGAGAGCCGCAACCCGTACTTCCGCATGCTCTCTCACTCTTCTGAGTCAACATCAGGCCCCAGCGAGCAGGCAGCGCCAGCTGCCGCTCCCCCGGCGCCGCCTCAGCCCGAGGTGTCGACCAACCCCTTCCACCGCATGACCCAGGAGAGCAAGGCTACGCCGGCAGCTCCCGCTCCCGCACCTCCCTCCGGACCCTTTTCCCGCAAGCGTCCTGACGATGACGACGACGGTTGGGGCACGGACAAGGACGAGGACGAAGATTCCGATGACGATGATCGCCCGGGCGGCAGTAGCGCTGCGGCACTGGCTTCCATTCTCTTCGGCACCATGGGACCTCCCCGACCTTTGTCGGCCGCCGGTGACAAGCCGTCGTCCAACCCCGTCAGCCCGGCGATCGGTAGCGGCCCCACGTCTCCCCCGCCTCCTCCCCCTGTGCCCAGTTCTGGCGCTCCTCCTGCTCCTCCTCCTCCACCTCCGGCCCCGGCCCCCGAGGCCCCGTCGGCACCGCCGCCGCCACCCATGCCTTCCATGGACGCACCGGGCGCCCCTCCTCCTCCCCCGCCTCCGCCAGGCATAGGAGCCCCGCCACCACCCCCTCCCCCTCCTCCTGCGGGCGATGCCCCCTCTGGCCCCCCGGCAGGTGGCGGTGGTCGTCCGTCCGGTTTCCTGAGCGAGATCCAGATGGGCAGGTCTCTCAAGAAGACGGAGACGCGGGACAAGAGCGGTGCCGCGACTGCAGGCCGTGTTTTGGATTAAGTCAAGGCCCTATAGAGGCTTGACAAGTGTCGAAGGTAGAACTGCGTAGTCTACGGAGTAGGTTAGGACGTAGATTTTATTCTAGCCGGCGGTTTGCGGAAATTGCGCTACATTCTCAGATCGGCTGTTCCATATAGTAATGCCTGAATCACATGTTTCTAATACGTATGAAGTGTCTGCATCTAGGTGATACGTGCATCGCGGAGACTCGCAGTGTCTTCATTTGATAATACATTATCGTCCTTGGAGCAATGTCACCTGCTTGTGCTCGTACTCGTAAATGGCGGTATCAGTGAAGGCACTCGCTAAACAATGCTGCATCAAGCCGGCCTGTTAGAGTGTCAGCACACGCCCACCACTCTGCGAGTTTACGGCGCATTCGGGCCCGAGGACACGGACGACGTGTGCAGAGTAAAGGGTGCAGAGGGGCGTAGATTCATCCACAATAGTAGGAAATTAATCAACCTGCCCAACAGGTCTTCTCAGTCTCGATAGACCTAATAGAAAATGGACATGCTCTGATCAGGCTTCCGTCTTTTACCTTGGCGTCTGTAGACTCCTACTGGGGTTAGCTTGGAATGATGGTTCGCGCTGACAGGGCTGCGAATCCCGTTTCTTGGCATTTTTGTTTTCCTATTTGGGTAAGGCGTCTTGCTGTGTAAGTGACGACGATGTGGGCATTTTGGTTAACATGGCGGTGCGGTACGGGAGGATGATGTCTCCCTGCTGGTTGGGTCTTGCGTATAATAGAAGTGCTCTTCTCTCTGTCCATCACACGCAGTATCTGTGTTTGTCTGTACAATCGGGTTTAACAAAAGGGCGCTTACCTCCTCATCACCTGAACGACCTGTTAGAGAACTCAACACCATACGTGCTTGAACATGGCAGCTGGAGACCCAAGTATGATTACTGACGGCTTTCTTCCAACGTATCATTTCTAACTGGACCCTCAGTCTTATACAACCTGTACGTGTACGCACCAAACCAATGGGCTCCCATCATCTTCATCGCCTTATACGGTATCTCGGCCGTCTTTCATATTTGGCAATGCTAGTAAGTACGCCCTCGTTTCCAGAGAATCACCTCTGACGCATCCTCTTAGCCGCTATAAAGCGTTCAAGTTGATCGGTTTACACCCCGTCTGCGCCGTCCTCTTCACAGCGGGCTACTCCCTCCGTGAGTACGGAGCATATCACTACCTCTACAGCGAAACCACCAAGACGCCCCTGATGGTCTTTGTATTCAGCCAAGTCTTTATCTACGTCTGTCCGTGAGTAAATCGAGATCTCCAGTTGTTTTGGCAGCATTCTTTAACACCTTGTCTTCCAGGCCCCTCCTCGAACTCGCAAACTACCACGTCCTCGGCCGTATCTTCTACTACGTCCCCCACTGCGCACCTCTCCCTCCGTCCAAAGTCCTGACTACATTCGGCGGCCTCATGGCCGTTGTCGAGGTCCTCAACGCCCTCGGTGTGGCCCTCTCTTCCAACCCCTCCTCGACGCCCGAGAAGCAGGCGCTCGGCAGCCACCTCACGCTCGCCGCGCTCGGCATCCAGCTCGTCCTCATCGTCATCTTCATCTGCCTCGCGGCCCTCTTCCACTTCCGCGTCGCCAAGTTCAAGATCCGGTCCAAAAACGTAACAACAATGCTGTCCACACTGTACGCGAGCATGTGTCTGATCTTCGTCCGGTGCGTGTACCGCCTGGTCGAGCACACGGGCAGCACGAAAGTCGACCTCGACGACATGGAGGCACTGCGCGGGCTGAGCCCCATCCTGCGGTACGAGGTCTACTTTTACGTGTTCGAGGCGAGCCTGATGCTTGTCAACTCGCTGGTCTGGAACGTGTGGCATCCCGGGCGGTTCTTGCCGCGCGGCCATCATGTGTACCTCGCGCGGGACGGCGTCGAGGTCGTGGGGGAGAAGGATGTCGACGCGAGGTCTCTGTGGGCCAAAACGGCCAACGTCCTCACCTTTGGTATCTTTTTCCGCAGAAAGAGGACCGTTCGGGGGGAGGGTGTGAAGTTGAGGGATCGTTCGCCGAGCTCGGTTGGTCGGGGCGAGCAGAGCTCTTCGCTTTTGCCAGCACCCGCTCAAGCGAAGTGATGCAGTTGCTCGTACTTGATGTTTGGGTTGTGTGTGCGTTAAAGATTTTATGGAAGTGACTGCCATTTGGGCTTGGCTTCTGCCGCGACGAGTTTTTGGAGTTTGGGGCTACATTACAAGTTTGGGAGGCTTCCTTCTGCTGCCTTTTCTGGGTCCCTCGCGTAGTTAGATAGAAGGGGCTTACCGGGCTCTTCCCCTCCTGTGATACAGTTCATTTAGATTTAAGAGATTGCGATAATAAGACCAGTGTGCCGGGAAAGATTGAAGCCGTTTATGAGATGGAGAAAAATGTTATGTTCCTTGTGATCGAGCAAGACCCAAATGTCGTTTTCAGTGATGATTAGAAATCTCGCTCTTTTGAGATTGCCATCGTTTCTGACGTCAATATATATATGTTCTTCTTTAAATCGAAGCAGAAGCAAAGAAAGCCACCAGCGAAACAAAGTCTATCGAGTCCATAAAATGAACGGCACAGTTTTTGGTGCCAAGCGAACGTCCGTCGCTGACATCCTTCTGGAAAGGGGCTCAGCTCGAACCCGGCAATGTGATTGGTCTGACCCAGAAGAACTAGGAGCTGTCGTCAGCTTGGAGACCAAGCCTGGATATTTCGTCACCAACAAAGTCTCGTTCCTGTCGAGGCAGTATCGCTCGAACAAGTTCGACCCTGCTCCAAACACACTCGTGATGGAGGATAGTCGCAGACGCAAACGCCACTGCTGGGAGTGTCGTCGCCGGTGTCTCGTATGCGACTTCACAGAGCCGGCGTGCAGACGGTGCTCGGCCGCCGGTGTCGAGTGTCCCGGGTACGGCGACGTCAAGCCAATGAGACTCGAGTGGCTCGCACCTGGGAGAGTCATTTCGAGGGGCCGCAGGAGGAAGGGTAAGCGTCAGTCGGACGGGGAGAAGGGATACCAGGTCAACAATGTCGCGAGCCGAAGTCAGGTCCTGGAGAGGACCAGCTACGTGCCTTGGATCGAGATGAAGACCGACGTCTGCGCCTTGCCTCAAGCCGCCGAGTATTGTGAGCCGTCCACTCGAGACGTCTCTCTCGCGAGCCCGGACTGACTTTCATCGCAGTCAACTCGTGCATCTACCAAGACCTGGTCCCGATCCACCAGTTTGGGCAAAACCCGCACATCTACCCTCTCACGGAAAGGCACCTCCGCGTGGGGGCAAGGGCACCAGAGTACTTGCAGTTCGGCATGGTCTGCATGACGTTGAGCCACCGACTCAACCGGACGCGGAGCGACATACAGTCCAGAAAAGTCTTGTCCGAGAGGTTCTACATCCACTGGGGTCTCGCAGTCCGCTCGTTGACCGAGCATCTCAACGCGCAAGATGAGCAGACGAGCGACATGGTGATTGCGGGCATACTAACCATTCTGCTTGCCGATGTAAGTCCTCCATTCCTCCATCAAAAGAAGAAAGGCACCAGCAGTCATCACAGGTCCAGAACGGCAATTCTCTGAACTGGCGCTGCCACATGGAAGGCGTCCACAGAATCATCTCTCTCCGAGGGGGCTTCCGCGCAGTGGCTGGGTCGAGGAGGCTGGAGCCGCTGTTGCTTGTCCTCTGGTCGTACGTCGCTTGCCATCCGAGACCCCATCGTGCAAGATGCTGACCCGCCCCCCTTCGCACAGCGTCGCCGTGACTGGGAACACAACATGCCCGGCGTCAGACCTTACCATGACAGGGCTCCAGCTTGACGCTCTGGATCTTGTCGTCGATCAATACGCTATGTCGTCGTCGTCATTCCAAATGTGCCCGTTGTCGCTGTATGGGGAGCTGATTAGGATCAACCATCTCCGATCACGAGCTTCGAGGTGCGGGTCCGAAAACCATGCCCAGGAGGCACACGAGATGCTAGAGCGCATTCATGATTTTTCGCCTGAAGAATGGGCCAAATGTAAACCTCAACTTACGCCATCGTCTATGGCAGACTGGGTGGTCTTAGGGGCAATCTACAAAGCCGCCGTGGCTTTGTATTGCGTCCTCTCGCTGCAGAGCCTCTGCGTTCTCGAAACAACGACGCTGCTCAGGAATATCTGCGCAACACATGGCCAGATCCTAAAGAGCCACCTGAAGGAAGCTATACAGTCTCCCAAGATGGAGCGGTTCCTGCTTTGGCCAATGGTCCTGCTCGGGGTTGAGGCTGTACACGGCGACGCGGCGGTGCGTCGTTTTGTTTCGGGGCAGCTGCCAGAGCTGAGCTGTAGTCTCGGGACCCATGTACCCTTGACGGCGAAGCACGTCTTGGAGAGGTTCTGGGCGTCTGGGGAGACGAGGTGGGATGCTTGTTTCGACAGGCCGTACGCTTTCACGGCTCAGCTCGCTGTTGACACAAGCCGGCTGTCGCTCTATGATGAAGAGTGAAGAGGGTGGAAGTTACAAATATCCAGTAGGCAGGATTCAGGCTATATGAGAGTGACAGCAGATGAAGTTGCCCCTCGCAGTGGGGTTTGTAAACAGCAAGACAGGGACATGATATCAGAGGGGCTATGCCGACAACATGCCAGCGTAAACATGCCAGCATAAGCACTTTGCCCTCCAAGCTACAGGGCCGAGACCTCACGAAGCTGAGCATCGGAAAACAACAAGCTATGCCCTGGGTCAGAACTCACGATGTCCGCCCGTCCAAATCAACCATCCGTGCCGCCAGCGCGGCATGTCAACATGCGACTCATCGTGACTGTGCCCAAAAGCTTTCGGCCACAGGAACAACAAGATGGACGTCAGCTATGTCAGCAGCCCATAGCAAAGACAGTGCTTCCCGCAGACATTGCATCCGTCCCGCCTTCTCTCGAGTGACAAACCAGACGTGCGTTCATCGCCATCTCAGACCGTTCCCCTCTCTCATTTGAACTACATTCAAAAGAATATCACTATCAAGCCATTTGGTGTACGTCTCAAAGGACAAGACCCCGAAACCCATTGTCCTAACCCCCGCCGCCACCGGCTATCCGAAATCCCATGCGTTCAAAGCTCGAGATTACGTACATCCACGCAGGCCCATCCAAACACTAGCGAACCCCCCTCAGCACGTTTTCCCTCTTCTTTATCTCAGAGTCTTGGCACGGAGGGGAGGGAGGGAGGTGCGGTCTCAGTCCGTCGTGTCAAACAAAGGAACTCGAGCTGGGTTGGATCAGCGCTTGCTACCCGTGTGGCGCAGAATAGAAAAAAGCTATTTCTAGGGCGGTTCTACTCAGGCGGCGGCGGCCTTTTGCCTTTCGATCGACGGGGTCCAGGACGAGAGAGCTCGGGAGCGCGGACTCTCTCTGGGCTTCGACGACGTAACGAGCGCGCAGAATAAGGGCACACGGAACAAAATCCGGTGGTTGGAGGGGGAAGTAGTGCTGCTTCATCACCTGCGAGGGGGAGGAGAGGGAAAGAAAGGAAGCTGGTGATCGGACCTCTAGTTGGGGCCGCCCACGCGCGCGCGGGGTTGCGGATGGCGGATGGCGTCTTGCTTTTTTTCTTTTCTTGTCTACGCTACACATTACGATCGGATCTTTCTTAGCGCCGGTTTCTGGAAGTGAGGGGTGTGCCGTGTGTGTTAGGGTTCTCTGGAGATCTTTTTTGGAAGCATCAATGCAAAGCAAGGAGACGAGAGTTTCGTACGATGCTGCTGTTGAAATGCTGATGATGCAAAAACACGCGCCTGGGGACGTGTTGGAGGTGTCGTGTGTTTATTGACACGTCGTTGCGGGATCAGTGCCTGATGACATAATGCGCGCATCAGAGCCCGTCTACTGCTGCATGTGTCAACGTTTGCGTGCGATTTCTTGCATGATTCCGTGGTCTCATGTGGTTCACGGCAAGGCGAGTTGAAAGTGTCAGGCTAATGTAGGCGCGAGGTCAGTAGCCATGTAGCTAACGGTAGATGCATCTGTGATATGGAGGAGGCGAAAGCTGCTGCGGATACGCAGGGCACATCAACCACACAGGACTTTCCGGGGCTCGAGAGAGGCGGATGTTGGAGAAACTAGGCTGATTCTACGGTTGCAGTCGGCTAGGAGCTTGGGGAACAGGCGACATGAAGAAGGATACGGGGGTGGATCTACGGGATAGATATGCAGAGCACAGAAGATTGACTGCCCGGGTGTATTCGTACAATGTATCCTTCCAGACAGAGGGACTTTTAGAGTCATGTAAGTCCCTGGGGGAGGATCTGTATGTACGACACGTTGAGAAGGGGACGTGCTTTTTCTCCTCCCGTGGGACTCGCTGCTGCATGGGACCTGGACCCGGCGGTGCTGTCACGGTCAGAGGAAACGACACCACTCTATATCGACTTGAAACAGATGCACAGGGACGATCGTTCAACCCAGGCGAGGTGGGATGCAAGAGCTGAAGCTGGCTGTACTACCTTTACAAGCTCCAGATTCAAGCTTACCTAGCTCCAGTTCTTGTCGAGCTTCTATTCGGGGCCACAATCAGGCGGTGGGAATAGGAAGTTGGCCGCCGTTTGGTCAGGTCGGCCTGTTTGGAAGTGTGCGCGTTCGGTCCTCCGAGTCTGTGTGGTTGCAGCTTGGGAGGGCCGAAAGGGTCCGGGGTGGCGGTCCTTGGAAAAGAGGCGCCGAATTCTCGAATGAAGGGAGACACTTTTTTGGACCTTCTTCTTCTTTTTTCGTCCTCTTTCGTTTGGTGCGCTCTCTAGCTCCAACAATGGGGTTCCCTTCAGGGCAAACCGAGGCCTTTTGCTTCTGAGCTATTGAGAGAAGGCCGCAGTGAGGGGCAGAGAAGGAGGCTGAGTGGGATAAGCTGAATGGCGCAAGAGGGCCTGGTCAATGGGCCGGAGATCGGATGATGGACTCCATGTTTGCTTATTCTGAATGGGTCCTGATATATCATTAGCAGACAAAAGCCTGGAGGCGAATGCCGGGTCCCAGTCCAGCCCTTTCGTACGTAAAACACAAAATCCAAGGCAAAAGAAACGAATTCAAGGACTTGGGATGAAAGAAACAGTTGAGGGTCCTCCGGACGGACTATGCGTTGTCCATTATTGGGGAGCACAGCAATGGGAACGGTGGATGAGATCTGAGCGTGCCAACTTTGGCCGTCAATGCTTCTGGGATGTCGAGGATCACAGACTCGACGACGGATCGGATGGCCGGACGGACGACGAACAATGCCCTGACGTTCTTTTTACATAGTGTGGTGCCCAATGCTTGCGGCTTGCTCGCCTTGCCTTGCCTGCCTTGGCATTCCTGAAGAGACAGCTTGTCGGGTTTGTCTGATGATACGGGACCGTCGCATCGCATGGGCGCAGATGGAGCCGTTTAATGGGAGTGAGTTGATAAGGTAAGGCAGGCCTGGTCCTCTGTGCATGTGGTCTGGGACTGTGCGCTAAGATGCCGGCGTGCACTAAGGCGTGGACAGGAGTGACGGCCCTCTGGGACCGTGAGAGGACGGTTGAATGGGTTGGGAGCAGGGTGGTAAAATTAGTATGTAGTATTTAGTATTTTTTTTAGTTAGTATTAGTTTAAAATACTAAAGTATGGTTTTTTGCATACTAATTTAGTATTAGTATATTTTAGTACGATTTTTTTTTGCTTAGTATACTAAACTGATATTAATACTAACTAAAATACTAAAAATACTAAAACTATATAAATAAATCTATGTTAATTTATATAGTTATTACATAGCTTAATAACTGATTTAGAGGTACTTAATAAGTTAATTTAGAGGTATTTATAATATCTTAGGTATTAAAAAGTAGTTAAAGATATTTAAAAAGAATTAATAAATATTATGAAAGACTATATTTTACTATCTATAAGAGAAAAAAAAAATTTAAAAAATTTTAAATCCCCCTAATTTTTTAAATATAGAAAGTATATATTTAAGACGTATAAACCTTTATAGGTTTAAGTATATAAATTTTAAAAGAAACTAAAAGATTTAAACTTTTTTTACTATATATCTTTATAACTAGCTATATTAGTATAAAAAGCTTTAAAGTTTTTATAGTCTAAGCGTTATTAGTTATGTAATCTAAGTATTCTAGCTATATTTTAAGCTTAAATTACTCTTTAAGACCTTAAGAGATTTATTTATAAAAGAAGAGCTTTCCCTCTTAGATATCTCTCTTATTTTTAACCTTATATATATATATATATTAATTAATATCTATTTTTACCCTTCTATAAGAATATTATATTTAAAATATAGAAAACTAATAAAATTAACTTCTAGTATTATATTACGCTTCTTTTTACTTTATATTATAATAAGGCCTTTTTTATTAATTTCCTTATTTGTTTTTTAGTTATTATAAGTTATAATATAGCTAAAAAAAAACCCTTATAAAGGCTTTTAAAATAAATAATATTTTATAAATAACTATATATTACTATAAAAATGCTTTTAAAGGGAATTATATTTAATAACTTATATTAAAATTAAAATAATATTAGTAATAAATATATAGTTATATTAATAAAGGCTTATATAATAAGCTATATTAAAACAGCTTAAAGTATATTTATTCTTTATTAAGTAAAGGTTTTAAGCTAAAAGTATAGAGATATGCTTAAGAAATCAGTATAAAGATATAGAGAATTATATATTTTAAATACCTAATTTAAATAACTAGTTTCTGTTAACACAGGTATAAGCGTATTCAGGGGCGTGGTATATACGCCTATATAGTATAAGGTTATAGATAGGCTTATATTATAATAAAAGGTGATAATTTTAAGCA